ATATTTTTAAGAAACTTAACCAAGGTCATAAAGTAGGGACAAACCTCAGGCATTGAGCCTAGTTGTTTTTACACAATGGTAAACACAGAAGATAATGTTTGTCAGGAGGGTCAAAAAGAGCAAAGAGACTGCTTGTAATCAACTATTCAGGAAACAAATGTCCCAGGTCCCACCTGGCCTCCCTGAAGGGTTCAAAATTCCCATACAATCACAACCCACCCCTTGTGAGAGTAATTCCAAAGGTATTTCATTTTCCATTCCATGCATGGCTTCTCAATAGCTGCATACAGGTCAGCCTACAGCTGACTCCTAGACCAAAGGGAGGTGTACCTACCACTCCCCCAAGATCACACACCCTCTTGACAGCAGGCCCTCTAAAGCACAGTCCCTTTCCAGTGTTTAACTGAGGGGGAAAAAATTTTAACTGGGGACAAAAAAGGTTTTATGAAAGATGAAGTCCATTTTTCTTGCAAAGAAAAAAATTAGACGTACCCTCTTCTTCATGCCAGAAATTCCCTTTAAAGGTGACTAAGGCATCAGACCAGTAAGCTTAAAATAAAAACTGCTAATTAAAGAAACAACCAAATATACTCATATTTAGAGTATTATTAGTCAATCAAATAAAGGTAAGTGACCAGCATCAGATTCTACCTTAGTTAAGAAGGAAGGTAGAGACAGGCACACATTTATTCAATATCACAGGATCCCCCAAGGGCAAAGAACGTTGGAGAAACCGGAGAAGTTAAACCTAAGAGGCCATATGGTTATTAACTATCTGAAATGAAATACAAAATTTGGGAATACTCAGTTGAACAATATTCTAAGGGAAATGGGGAAGATAAACAAATTGTTTTTAAGTACAAAAAAACTAAGTTATAAGCTTTCCTACCTAGAACAGTGTTTTATATCAACCCAAACATTGATGGCTTCAAATCACATTTAGGCCTTTGGTATTGTCTTCTAGACCAGGAATACACCAAAAGCCAATTTGTATAAATAAAGTTTTAACGGAACACAACAACCATCACTTGTGTAGAGAGTCTATAGTCACAAAAGCAGCAGCTGCAGAGACTACACTACCCACAAAGCCCAAAATATTCACTATCTGACCCTCTGGAGAAAAAGTTTGTTAATCCCCTATTCTGTACAAAAGCAGCCCAGAAAGAAAGAGTTGCCCTCAACTACTATAAACAGACAAGACCAGGGGCAATTTGCAAACAGGCAAGTTGTTAAGTAACAAAACAAATTTTTTAATTTTTCAAACCACTTAAGCATAACAGTGTATAAATGAGAAGTTTATTTAACACTTTGAATAGCTATTACTACAAAACAGCTCATTGTATAAGCTCATTACATAGACAGTATGAAAGAGCTGGTATTTTTATGATGCTTAAAGTTATCTCAAAAACAAAGTTATCTCGCTCCAGAAAGAGAGGAATGTCTCATGACCATCTGTCCCTCTCATTCCTACTGCTCACTAAAAATCATAGTGTCTAAGTATTTTTTTTTTTTTTTTAGAATGAAAGAAGTACTTTGTAAAAACATGAACAATCAAAGTATTAATCACTAAAAGCAAGTGACATCAGTTTAAAAGTGTAACTCAGACTGGCATAAGATTAAAATTCTGAACTACCATTTTTTTCTACAAATGCATAAATTTGATTACAATTATATAACCAGATTATATTCATCCACTTTCCCTAAGGATAAAATTGGGGAAGGAGAAAGAATTAAATAGCCTCAGAAGTGTAAAGAAATGCTGCTTAGAACATTTTCTATCCATTCATAGATATGCAGATCAAGTAATTGCTGGTAAAGCGATTCAGAGTAAACAATAATCACACATGCCATTTCTAACACATCAAGTTTTTTGAAGCAAAACCCCAGTTACACAAACTATATATACTTTGCTAACCAGTTTCTTATCTACTACACTCAGTTTGCTACCATGTTTTAGAGATGATATACTGAAATACCAGCTTACCAACTCTCAAACTTCTGAAGGAATGAATATGTAAATTTGGATGAAACTGGGAATGGAGAGTAGTACTTTGTGCAGCTGCAGCTACATTGTATGTTTTTTAAATGCCAAAACCTGTTTAAAGCAAAAATCAAAGGAACAAACTTGAAAGGAATTTTAGAATTTATTCTCTAAGCAGCTTCTTTCCCAAAACTGCATTAAATAATCACTTCTCTCTCCAAATGTCCCGATTGGTGGCTTCATTATTAATGCTATAGAGATCCATCTTAAAACATGGAACAATTCCTAGGAAAACACTGAGAGTCGGTGTGAAAGTCTCCGATGTCTTGGACTCCATACTTGGGAATATTTGAAGCGTTTTTAATAAACCAGCCCTCAAAACTGATCAATCCTGAGAAGGGAGGGTGGGGGTTTATTTATGTTAAATATTTATTCATACTAACTGCTTTGCTCTTCTAGTCATTTAAAACTACAAAGCTCATTTTTTAGTTTATTACTCGGGTATATTAATCACACAAGCTTCAAATCCCCCCTCCTCTAGTATGCAGCCATCATACCAGACGTGCTTTCCTCATTCTTGAAGTAAGTGCTGTTTCACTGGACTGGAAAGAAACCCTTGAAAATGTCCAGCCAGGGTGAAAGGAACGGAGGGTTCAACAGGTATTTTCTAAATAAATAAACCTAACCAGTTTTTATTACAAGATTGTACTTTAATTCTAGACACAGACCAATCTACTTTTGATAGTCAAGTCTTTTTAACTGTGGCAAGATTTCAACGTAGTTGTGAAAACGTGTAACGATTTATCTGTCATTTCTTGGGGTTCATTTTCAGATTATTTTCAGAATAAAAGCGCAGTCACTGCTGAGTAGTTTCGGGGTTTTATCTACCATAAAGTTTCAAAGTGGTGAGTTCGAGGTGCAGCTAAATAGTGAAAGGAGACACACTGGAGGGCTCCCCTCCTCTTCTATATTTTACATATTGATTTCACAAAACTGCACCAGGCTGGTGTCCCTCCTCCCGCCGACATCCTTGGAGAAGGAACAGCCACAGCTACTCTAGTCCCAGGCCGGGTAGGAAGTACCCGCCCTCGGGATCCGGAGCCATCGTGTCCTCGCCGCTCATTGGCTGCGAGGGCCGTCAATGCTACTCAGCGCCGGTCTCCGGCTTGAGAGTGGAATCTCCAGCTGGCACCTCCAGAAGGGTGCACGGGGGTCCTCCATCCGCCTGAGAAAACAAGCAGCTTCCTCAAAGGGCTCCTTCACCTTTCTATTTCACAGCCCCTCCTCCTACGGCCCTCCGATTCCTCCAAGAAGCAAAGTTTTTTGTCCCACCCTCCCCCTCCCCCCCCAAAGCTCCAACATCTCTGCCACCCCAGCAATCACTCAGTCCAGGACCAAATACAGGAAGCTTTTTAAGGACGAAGCTGACTGTGGAATAGATCTCACAAAGGATAGCAGAGGGTTCCTTCCCATGAAAATGATATCATTGCTCAAGTCATGTGTCAACCAGTTAAAGTGCACTGGTCTTTATCCAGTGTTAAAGCCAAGAATACTCAGTGTCCATTCAGCAAAAACAAATGCCACAAAGCATCATAGGGTTAAATGAATGTCTTTTTCTACTATTCCTTTATTTCAGGGTTTGTCTGGTAATTTGTTTTTTTAGTTGTTATAATTTGTTTTTTTAGTTGTTGATAGACCTTTATTTATTTATATACGGTGCCGAGATCCGAACCTAGTGCTTCATACATGTCAGGCTAGTTTGCAACCGCTGAGCCAAGATCCCCCCTAAACTTTGTAAGCGCAATACTATGCCATTTTTCGATCACACCAGCAGCACTTTATGGTCCTGTACAGAAAGTACTGACAACATACATACTGTGAACTTTATTCTGTAGTGCTACCTGACAAGACATACTGTTGTAGTCTGTAAGAAGTGTGTATACGCATGGAAAATGAATTCCCTGGAGAAGGAATTAAAAATAGCGGTTCTGACACGTAAATACGCTCTACAAACTGTGGGCAAGTTTTTGTATTGCTTTTTGTTTCCAATTTGTACCCCTGAAATAAGTAATCTCCTAGGAGGAGAGTCATTTCATGTCTGTAATATGTTTCCAATTTCCCAGTTGTCAGAATCTAAAGGACAGAAGTCTATTATAAAGCAATCATTCTTTGTGTTTGTCTCCACCAAGAAATACAGCTATTTTAGCATACTATTAATCTGTTCATACACCATCTCCTAAGGCCTGCACTACAAAATAAAAAGGCAACAAAAATTTAGATCTCCTGCAGCATCCTCTAGGTCGAGTTCGTTTCCTGACACTATTCAAGGGCCATGAGGTCTTCTCACTTTTTCCCTTTTGGCTCTCCTTTGTCTTAACTTTGCCCTCAGTCTTCAGTTTCTCTCTTTTCCATTGCCATCATCACCACCAAGGCTTCACTTCACTTCATACTGACATTTTTCAATACTGGTTCTAAAGTGTATTCTCCAACAGGTCTCTCACCCGACACCACCGCTGTACTTCTCAAATCACTTCGGATTCCCCCACCACCCAATCTCTCCCAGTGAACTTCACTTTTCTAAGTTGGACTGCTGCCAAATCCTGACAGATGGACTTAACCAATCCACCAGGGATAAATAACCGATGCCACCAATGAGCTTCCACTGGGGGGCGGGTCTTCGCTAAAGTTGGTTGGGTCGTGAAACCAAGGACCTGTTGCCGCCGCCTTGGCCGCCGAGTTTCCTAGTTACTCCAGAGTCCACAGTAGCCTGGGGCCTTGGGAGCCGGTGGCCGACTAGCACTTGCTGCCACCCATCCCCAGGGAAGGACCAAACCCCCACTGGATCGTGCTCGATCACAGCACGCCCCGCCCCATCTCCCCAGGCGGGGGATCCTGGAGATCGCCCCCACGATCCAGACCACCCTCCCTCACTCCCTCCCTTGCTCGCTCCGGACTACAGCGGGCAGCCCCACCCGCCTGGCCTCTGGCTTCTGCGCCGGAGCTCCAAAAGGCGACTCACCAGGAAGTTAAGAGTTTTCCGTTCTCCCGCCCTCGAGGGACACGCAGTGAGCCCACGGCTCTGCTGGGCACCTCCGTGGAGAGGCCTGCCGGGCCGGGGGCTGAGGCTGCGAGGGCAGGAGCCGATCGGCCACCTCCCGCCGCGCCGCCCCCTTGGACACTGCAGGCGCAGGAACCCACCCTGCACACAGCGAGACTACTCCTGAGTGCGAGCCTAGTGGCGGCGGCCCATCCTCCCGCAACTCCCGCTCCTCCTCCCGCAGAGGCCGCTGTCAGGAGTGTAAACATCCCGGCATCCCCGAGGAGAGGGGCGGGGCGGGTGCTGGCCCCTCCCCGCAATCTGGCTGCGCCGGGCCACTGCCCTGCTGAGCTCTGCAGGCGTCTTCCCCACGCCAGGGTGCCCAGGAGCCGGGCAACTTTCCCGGTTTCGGAGCTCCAGTGGAACCCTTACGACAAATCTTTTTCCACAGTGAGGCCTACGGAGGTGTGGAGCTACGTCCTTCTGCTCCCTTGCTCCTCCTTCCTCGGCTGTAGCCAACTTTCCACCTAGGGAAGGATTGGTGGGGTTTTTTTCTTCTGTTTTTGTAGTTGTAGATGGACAGAATGCTTTTATTTTTATGTGGTGCTTAGGATCAAACCCAGTGCCTCACACATGCTAGGCAAGTGCTCTGCCCCTGAGCTACAGCCTCAGCCCGGGTTGGCTGCCTTTAAGAACTTGGGTTTTCACAATTTAAGTGTTCCCAATTAGAAGTGGTCCATCAACTCAGTGATATCCCCATTCTTCGGGAACTACAGCGTTTTGATCCCATTCTCTTTTACCCAGTGATTTGAACGACCTCTGCACTTAGTGTTAATGCATGGAAATGAGGAAAAGAGGCTAGTGTTCTCTTGTACCTAAGTGACCCAACCTAGAGGACAATGACTTTTAGGACATTTGGGGAAGGTGAACCACCTAGCATAGTACCAAGGAACTTTTAAAATGCATTTAGTCATATGTATATATAAATTCCATGCCACATTTATAATATCATAAGTAGCCCCCAGAATCCTATTACATGGAACTGCCCAACTATGCTTTGAATACAGTGGCTTCACTACTTCAATGAAACTTCTTCAATGAACTACTGGAGGAGACAGCTAGGAGGCAATATGGAGTCAATCATGTGGACTGGAATCTCAGCACAGTATTGATTTTGAAACCCAGTGAGAAGTTATTTAACTTCTCCAAGTTCTCCGTATCTTTATGAAAGAATATATAGGATCACAGGTAGATTTAAACTAGATAAAGAGCTTCAGAACAGAAAGTGGCATCTAAGAAGCACTCACTTAATCTAAGTCAATTCTGCCAATATTCCAATAAAATTCGCACATCAGTATTAAAATAGTTTGGAAACCATAAGCTTATTTAGCCTCTACATTTTATGTGTATGAAAGCACTTTAATCACTCACTCCTCAAAAACAATTGACTTCTAACAACCTAATTATATAAAAGTTACCATAAGTAGTACATTTGTTCAACTTATTTTTTATATGTGCTCCATGTCTGGGAAGATGAGACAAAATAGGGTTAATAATAGTTGCTGTTGGGTCTGGGGCTGTATCTCAGTGATAGTGCCTAACACATGTGAAGCAGGCATTCTGGGTTCAATCCTCAGCACCACATAATATATTGTGGCCATCTACAACTAAAAAACTTAAAAATAATAGTTATTAGTAGGTCTTTCACTGGTTTTATTTCCCTGCTAAAAGGGATAAGACATGAAGGAATAGATTATAGCTCAAAACATTTAAGATATTAAAACTATGGAATCAAGGTTTGGAAATTAAAAAATCATTCAAGAGCTCAAAAAGACACTGATTCGAGGGACATAAGAAATAGTCACAAATGTGCTAGACAGTGTTCTAAGGAATGAGGTTACAACAGTGCACCAAGATATGAAGTCCTGCTCTCATTGAGCTTACATCATAATGGGAAAAGAAAAAAAAATATCTACTATGTCAGGTGGTGAGTCAGAGAAATAAATTTGGGTAAGGAGACATGGGAAGGGAAAGTGCTATTTTAAATATGTTTATCTGGTAAGGCCTCTCTGGCATTTGAGCAGAGATCTGAGGAAGTGAGAAAATAAGCCCTGTGGCTATCCAGGGATATAGCATTTTACAAAGAGCAAATGCCAAGACCCTAAGTGGAAGTGGGTTTGACATGTGTGGAAAAACAGCCAAGAGATAGGTGGGTATAGCTAGAATCCAGTAAGCAAGGGGAAAGTAGCTGGTAAAGTCAGAGGAGGGTAGGAGTACAACAAGGGGATTGATTTAGAATCGTTTAACCTTTAGCACTTATTTTCAATGAAATTGAGAACCATTGGAAAAATGACCAAATTTGACTTGGGTTGGGAGAAAATAACTACACTGTGAAGAACAGTCTGCAGGACCGAAGGAAGTAGAAGTTAGTACACTAATAATGATCCAGAAAAAATACACAATGACTTAGACCAAAGTGCTGACAGTGGAGATGGTAAGAATGATCTAAGAAATATATCTGAAATCTGACCAAACAAGATTTGCTGATATATTAAACATGGGTAAAAGAGGAAGTAAGAAGTCAGTGACTTTAATCATGTGAGCCAGATCATTTTGTCAACTCATACCAAATCCAGTCATTCAATAGAGAAAATGTCACTTAAGTCATACACAGGCACACCTTACAGGGAAAATAATTAGATATCCTCAGGGTAAAGACTTCAATCTGAGACCAGTGGTATGGCGAAGGGCTGTTTCTTACGATCTTTTGCATTACACTTTAGAAAATGTAGTTTGATAGGTAATTAATAAAGTATCCTGATTTAAAGAAGTTACAAATTCATCATCGGACAAGATATTCCACTTGGTATAAGTATGTATACTTGTTATTTTATGAACACTGGCTGATAAATCAAAAATGAGTTCATAAAGCCTTTGTGGCTGCAGAGACTGTCTAGGAAAAATTCTGTCAGTGGTTATACAATGTGCAAAATATTAAAATAATCTCATATGTCCTATTTCTTCACTTTAAAAGACTACAAAACTTGAGCTAAATAGTAACTCAGGATTTCAAAGGTTGGGAAGACTGTCAAAACTGAATTCACTACACTGTCTTTGTAATTCTATCCTTTTGTTGTGGATAGGGAAGGTTCCCAGCCACAGGCTTCCTGGCACAGTGCAGATGTTAATGGAAAAGCAGAGAGGCCTACCCAAAGAGGCTCCTCTGGTCCAGGGATCATTAGAGCATAAGCCATCTTTTACTAGGTTTCTATTCATCTCCCCCACCAAGCTTGCTCCAAAAATGCTGGTTTGGCTCTGTGATACAAACTGTAGTTTTTTTTATATGAACCATTAAGTATTTATACCCAATTACCATGCAGTATATACCATTAACTATCAGATTTACAAATAACATTTACAGTGAAGTTAAAGATATTACCCTTAAAATCTCTCAGTTGATATCAAGTCTTCATGTTTTATTGTTCCTATCTTTGCTGGCCCCATGCAAGCAAAAAATAGGAGGTAGTATTGATTACTGAAGACTAACCTTGAATAAATGTTACATACCAGGTTCAGCATAAATGCCATTTCTCTGGAAGGAGGGAGACTTAATTTTTTTTTTAAATACAGGATAATCACGGAGTAACATTCAGAATAATTAGAGATCCTAGCCCCTAGGGTCAACCAGAAAGGTCTAGCCTTCTTGACTAGAACATAGTGCTGGCAACAGGTGTATTTCAAACACTACTAGTGATGTTGGCTGCCATTGAACTTGGCAGCTAAATGGTGATGAGGCTTAGTCAAGCTGTTGAAATGTCTGGACTAAATTGAGCCAAGAGGAGGAAGTCAAAGTGCAGACTGCAAAAAACTCAAGGGATATCACTTTTCTGTGGCCCTGGCTGTAGTCACTGTACAGTGTCAGAAAACCTTTATCTTGCTTTGAAGATACAATTGAAAAACATTACAAAGTTTTTTTGCCTTAAATGGCCCTTCTTATTGTTAATGGGAAGTATGATCCATTAAAAAGTAAAATGAGCCATAATTTTATCCTCAAAAAAATCCCTACAATACAGAATCAGACGATTCTACTACATCCATCCCAATTATCAAGTTAGGGTATTTTTAGAATATAATTCATGATTACAAACAGTGGTATACCAACAGTGGCTTTTTCCCAGCTATTTTTGCAGTCCTTACAAAACAGGAAACGTTTCAATACACCATACATGTTTTTAATGTAGGGAAATGTAATATTTTATATTGGTTGCAAAATAGCAAAGAGTACAACTAACAGTTGATATCATGGTTCCCTTAGTCAACAAAATTCAACCGAATCTCGTTTCTTGCTAAAAAAGAGAAAGAACCAACATATTGTGGACAACAAGTCACAGTTACAAAGGAAGCAGATTCAGAAATTATTTTCCTTTCTCTCTTGTACATCCTACCACTGATGTGAAACCAAAACCATGAAGCCATTTCACAGGACAATTTCCTCAGCAGTGGGAGCATTCTTGATCATGTTCAGTGTTTGTAAGCACTTCTCAATTAGCTATCCTGAGAGTTGTGGTGATACAATCATCACATCCCAAAGGTATTTTTAATAAAAGAAAATATTTCAAAGAAACCTCTTATGTGTGTATGTATCTACTTGGAAAATAAGGATGCTATAAATATCCTGTGATTTCACAAAACTCAGTGGAAAGATCTCAAAGAGCCATGCTTAACGTTCCCTGGGTGGTCTCCATCTACCACTCTGACACAACCTTTTCTACATACTTCACTCCCCCCTTGGCATGTATGAGATTCACTGAGGTCTGAGAGTTAAATGTTATGGTGTATTTCTTCATTGGAAATAAAGTGAAAGATAATAAGTATTTCTATTTCCTTTTAGTATTTACTAGTTCAGAAGAGGCTTCTCTTATGTTACATATGTTCCTATAACCTCAGAACACAAGGAATGAAAATTTACATTAAATAAAGTTTTATCTTCCTAGCCTTCTATGTTCATACTTACTTACAATATACATTTCTCCAATGTTTTTCTACAGTTATTCTTAATGGCAGAAGTGCACTTTAAAATGACTCAGTAATTATTTCTTTTGCAGTTCAATTTGCAATTTTAATGTTAAATCTGTTTGGAAATACAGGATATAAGTAAAACCGGATCTGGAATTGTGCCACATCAAATCCAAAGGTATCCTGAAAACAGGTGCTGTCATCTTTGTAACAAGAAGCCTAGTTGATTATAAATAGCTTCAATAGCCTCCAAA